TGTTCCAGCCTGGGTTCTTTTTTTTTCGTGCAGCATTTTACCAAGATCGACTCGTGCTGATAGAACAGGGAGCCCGTGTTACTAATGTTACTGGGATGCTCTCACATGCTGAGCGCAGCAAAGCCTAGTCCTCGAACTTGGGCTGTAATCTCCAGTTAGTGCCACGTTCTGTTATGTGAAAAACAAAAATGCTGTTTGCCTCGAAGCTGAAATGTAAGTCAATTCAGTAGACACAAGAACCGATCAGCGATAAACTGTTATCAAGGCATATGTTAGTTCTCGTAGTCAATTTGTGCTTCACTCTAAAAACCGAGCTTCACAACGGATTTTAACTGCTGCTCGTACTGTTAAATCATTGGCGACGCGCACCGAGCGAGCTCGTGCGATTATGCGTTTTTGCAGTATTTCGTGCTGTAATGAGATCGCTCGAGAACCTGGCAACTAGGATTTGCGACATTCTGGTCCCCGAAGTTCGGGAAGTTAATTGTCTGCGTCGTATTTGGGCAAGGGACATTCCGCTAAAATTTCAGCTTTCCAACTTCTCCCGTTCTAGAGTTAGCAATTTCCCCGCCAAAAAATTTCGTGGGTTCGTACATGAGAGCCACACGCGTCTGGGAACTGGATTTGATATCCTTAACTCATACGGGGGCTGGGAACACACCGTTAAAATTTCAGCTCCCAGCTTCCCTATTTTCCCGAGTTAGCCATTTTTCCGCCAAAAAATTTCACGGGCCCTTACGTGATAACAACGTACGTCTGGGGGCTGAGTTCGATAATTTTAAGTTGTACACGTGCTGGGAACATTTCCTGAAAAATTTCAGCCTCCTAGCTTTCCTGGTTCCCAAGTTGGCGATTTTCGCGCCAGGAATTCTCACGGGGCCATACGCGGGTACCACGCACACCTGAGGGCTAAATTTGAAATCTTTGAGTTCCATACGGACTGGAAACATAACCTCAAAATTTCAGCTTTCTAGCTTTTCCGGTTCCTGAGTTAGCGATTTTCCTGCCGAAACTTTCACCCTCTTGCGTGAAGGTTGGTACCGCGGCCCCGGGATCGCACCTGGCTGGGGGACCCACCAGCAAAATTTTGCGCCGGAGCTTGCCTGGGTGCCGAGTTGAGATACCTGGACAGACGCACACACGGACAGACGCACACACGGACAGACGCACACACGGACAGACGCACACATGGACAGACGCACACATGGACGCACACATGGACAGACGCACACACGGACAGACGCACACACGGACAGACGCACACACGGACAGACGCACACACGGACAGACGCAGACGCACACACACACACACACATACATACACACACACACCGAGGTCGTTGCAATATGCGTTTTCGCATTTGCATATACGCAAAAACGCATAATGAACGGAAAATTTGCTAGCCCATAGACCCCCGCCGACGAACTGCCACTCGCCCGACATTCGATTCATTTCCTAGCTGGGAACTTTTTACCGCTTTATTGTTCGTTCGCTCGTTCAAAATTTCCACAAATGGTCAGCGGTAGGCAGATGTAATCTCTGCTCAGCACCTGCGCGGTAAGCGGTTCTCTAGCGTCCCGACAGTCTTTCCAATCCAAAACGAACATTCCCGTGGAGTAAGGACCAGTGTTCATGCAGTTTACATCTGTCCGATTTCGAACATCCGATATGCCTTCTGTAGGTATAAGCCCGTTAGCTTGAAAGATAGGACGTACCATTCCAGTCGTTTCGATTTTACGTTCATCTTCGCGCGATGACATTGCTTTGCACCAAGAAATTATGAAACAGCTGAAAATTTTCATAAAAAACAAAGAACTCGAAAACAACCGTGGTCATAGCAATGAGGCGCTCTCTAAAGCGACGCAAAGACGCAAATGTGAGAGAAGTTAACGCACGCAAAATTCAGTCAGTCGAAAAGGAGCTCAAAATTTGACCGAGGAAATGCTGATTTATTTGGAAGACAGCAGATTGCACTGAAACAGCCAGAGGTAGCACAGACTGTAGTTTTAACGCTAAAATTTAGGAGAAAGGAGGTTGTTTAGGGTGCGGATCACAGTGATTCTGGGAGCTGACGTGTTCGTTCTCTTAGCAGAACAATAACCGAAATGTACCGCTGCAGTGCAAACTCACCAAAATCTTAGAAACAAGGGCCGGCAGCACATGCATTATCTCCTGTGGCCAAGTGCCAGATAGAAGGAATTGAAAAACCCGGCAGCAAGTTAAGAAACTCAATAGTTGCACCAATACATTATTAGGTTCCCCCACGTTTATTCTGGAAGCATGACAGACTTCGACGAAAGCCAAGAACGCTGACTAACACAAGATTTCTTAAATGGTGGCGGGAAAGCCGGCGAGCAACTTAAATACCCCCGGTCTCGCGCCTACAGATCATTGCCCATCGCCCTTAGCCGCTGCCCTACGTTGCTTCTCGCACGCTTTTTTGCTCCATATTCTATCACGCTGCCTTTCTTCATTTTTCTCCAACAAATATGAAATGTATGTTTTATCGTGGAAATCTTTAAAATTTTTTCAAGCAGCGACGAAAGGCACATTTTCAGTAAAGAGCAGAAAAGATGACAAGCTGCAGCCGTGCTCGCAAGTCAAAGTAAGAAAGATATCACCGTAAAGACAAAAGAAAAACAGTGAAATTAAGAGTGACACAGACTGTTAGCGGTTAAACGAAAATTTTTGCTTTTGTCTTTTTTTTTGCTCTAATTCATGCGTTCAGATTTTTGTCTTTTTTCTCTTTTTTTTTGTTTTTATTCATAGGCTCAGACTTCAGTTTATTTCCCTTTGTAATTCTATGCTGTTCCAGGCCCTTTACTGCTGTCTCCGAGCTCCTGTCCAGCATCCTCGCCCCCCTTCGCTACTTCCTCTGCAGTTCTTGCCGCCAAAGCAACACTCATTCCTTCATAATCGTATTTTCCAATCATCTACATCTTAGCCCCTCTTCTACCCCCAATTCTCCGCGGCCTAAACCAGTACCACATCTACCCTATTCTTTACCCACTACTCCCCAAAATCTACGTTACCCAGCCACTAAACCCACAAGTGAGTGCATATTGCGCGGCCGAGCTGAATTTAGTAGTTGTCTATGGCAGCTCTTCCCTCTACACCCCGAACCATCTCGTCTTCCCCTCTCTCTCCGCTTCCCTTTCCCTTCGAATTTACGTTACCCAGCACTTGGAGGGGACACTAAATCCATAAACTAGTGCAGAAGGGATCGAGTTTTCGTAATTACCTATCCCAGCTTTTCTCCTGCCCCGAACTCGCTCCTAATCCTCTCCCGTCTTCATCATCCACTCTTCAAAACTACCTTACCCAAAGCTTCGGGTAACGTTTCCCGCCACCAATATTGCTTTCGCAGTTCATACATCAACGGGAACCGAGCCGAGCTGGCCGGTCCAAGCCGAGTTTTAGTAATTCCATTCTGTATTGGGATGAAACGTTGCACCGATGAAGTGAATTTTGGTGAAATTCGGTATCATTGCTGCCACGTCGTCGTCGGGGGGTGCGGGTAGTTCAGAAGCAGTGGGGAGGGGTGTTTGTGGCTTCCCTTACGGGCTCTGTGTTTGCTTTGTGCTGAGGTGTACGTGGCTGTGGTGTGTGGCTCGCTTGTGCACCTGGTGCCGGGTGTAGTGGGAAGTAACGAGCCAGCTCCCTTCAAACGGCGGCAGATTTATCACGTTGATCAGGATGTGGGAGGGTGGTACGACGAGCCAATTGTACGAGGGGCAGCCTGCGCGGCACTCCGCTTGTACATCGTTTGCTAGCGTGCAGTGTATTTCAGGCGACGCAACGGCACGATGACGGTTCTGAAGAAGTTCGAGTCGAAGTCGGCTCGTGTGAAAGGTCTTCTCTTTCAGTACTTCCATCGAATCCGCCAGCAGTTTAAGCAACCCTCAGAAGAGAGAGACAGACGGAGAGCCTCCGGTAGCGTTGCCAGCGGGTGGCCGGCCTTTCGTTGCGAGCAAGGGATTTTGAATTTGACTGTTACTGAAATACCATCAGAAGCCTGGATCTGCGACTAGCATAGTGCATCGATGGCCATTGCCTGCTAGTCTCACTGTTGCTGCGGCCCGGTATTCGTTCTGCCATCGGGTTCCTCCTGGCTGCTTGGCGTGTGCTTTGAGTATTGCCACTGCTGGAGCGGGGTAAAAGTAGCTTGTCGTTGGAATGTTTTTGTTTTTAAATTTTTCCAAAGCTAAATTTGGTTTGTCTGTAACACGCGTGGTAGCGGTTCTGCCCCGGATTAAGTCGCTTCTCCGTATTGGCAGGGTTGGCTTTGCGAGTGTCATGCGAGCACCCTTCCGAGCGGCCCCTTTGTCTTTCATGCTTCTGATCAGCTGTTGTTTTGGCGTTGGTTGCCGTTCTTCTGGCCACTGATGTAACTGGCAGTTTCTTTATTTAAAAGAAAAATGTGAAGTAATACTTCATTTAGCTAATGTTTTTGTGTTTTGCTTGCAGGAATATCATTCCACCCGACACGACCATGGGTTTTGGCGTCATTGCACAGTGGTATCATTCAGCTTTGGGATTATCGCATGTGCGTTTTGTTGGATAAATACGATGAGCACGACGGTCCAGTCCGTGGCATTGCATTCCACAGCCAACAGCCCATTTTCGTATCCGGCGGCGATGACTACAAAATCAAGGTGCCCAACAGATTATAAACCATTCACAATCCTCCCCACCTCAACCGGGATTCTGCTGTTTCCTCGGAGCCCGTAAATGTTCCGAGTGGCACTGAAGAGGCTTTTTTTCCGGAGTTTGGGCAATTAAAAAAATTCGGCTGGTCACCTATGGTGCTTGAGCCATTCAGCGCTTTGTTCTAACATCTCCGCCAACACCATTTCGCGGCGCCGCTCGCTGGAACTTTGCCAGACGCGCTGGATAGCGCTGCCCAGTGCCTGACGGCTGAATGGCGTTGCCGGGAGGTAATGGGTGGAGGAATTGGACGTGGTTGGGGGGTGTTGATTGGTATTTGCCTAGATACAGCTCAGAGGGCGCAATTGAGGCCAGGATAGTAGGGAGGTATGAAGTTGCTGATTAGGAGTTCAGGACGACAAACGGTGCCAGCGGTTGGAGGTGGTGAGTGCCCCGATGCGGCTCTGGAAGCAGGGATTGGGGACAGGATGCAGGGCGAGATGACGGGTGCTAGGCAGGTGTCCGAAGCAAAAACTGCAGATAGCAGTAAAGAGGAAAATAAACCAACACCGCACTACGAAGAAAAGTGAATTAAAACAAACCTGAATTTGTGAATAAAAGGGAAAAAAGCAAAATCAAAGAAATGGAGCCTGTAACTAAAAGCAAACAAAAACTGAGCTTATGCGAGTAGGATTTGTCTTGCAAAAATTCATCTTCAGTAAGCGATCTCCGCATTGATGGAGTTTATGCTTAGGTAAAACTGAGGGCAGATAAGTTCGACTGAATTTACTGAAGCTTGTGCTTAGGTGGACCTGAGGGCAAATAAGTCCAGTTGGATTACACAGGAATTGCAGACATTTCCACAGTTTACCTCTAGCAACCTGCAGCTGTGCACAACAGTTATACCTTTGTTTTTTGTCTTCAAAATCTCACAGAAGCAAAAGCTGACTTCATCCCCAAGCATCCATCCTACCCTGCTTTTGCCCACTTCGTGGAACTTATTCGCTCTCAGTTTTACCTAAGCAGTTTCATAAATAGAGAAGACTATTGATGGGCTTTTGTGGGCAGCTTTATCTAAACATCAGTTTTATAAATAGGGAAGCCTAGTGACAGGTTTTTTTTGGGACAGCTTTACGTAAGCATCAGTTTCATAAAAAGGGAAGTCCCTGGAGCACACTTCCTCATCCTTTCCTTTTTTCGCCGCTCCCCTCCCCCTCCGAACGTACGTTACTTAGTCAATAGGCCAAGGATCTACGCCATTTAGTCCTTATATCCACCTATCCTATCTCCCCTCCCCTGCCACATGCCACCCCCATTTCCACCTTCCTCATTCAAACTGCAGCTATCCGCCGTGGG